TTACTGGTGGTTTTAATTTATGAAAAAAGAAATCAGTTGGTTTTAATTTATGAAAAAAGAAATCAGTCTCAATGTCCAAAACTGAGCCCAGCCTATTAGTTTTATGATCTTTGTAACACACTGATTGCAAGGCTTTCTCTGTGTTACTACAAAAATAGTTGTACCGCCACTAGGTCTGGTTTTTGGGCAGGCAAGAAGCTCTGGTGAGTCTCCTCAGTCCCCTCATCAGCTTCATGGCTCATTACAGCCACCAGCTGTTGAATATTAATATGCTTTTATCTCTGTCAACTTGGATGAAAATGCATTTCCTCCTCAGCCCGCTCCCTTTGTCTCCTGCATCATCATTACCAGGATGGCGAAAAAGAAAGGAGAGGAAAAAACTGAAAAAATGCAAAGCTCAAGAACCTAAACTTTCTAGAAACAGGCAACTTTAACTTTCTCACCAGTCTGTTGGAAGCAGTGAAGAGAATCACTAATTGGTCTTCTTGGGTATATGCCAGAGAGACAGACTGCTTCAAAATGGTAACTTGCTGACCTTTTCATGGGTACAAGATTATTTATCTGGCTCTCATTAGGGAGACCTGTGGCATGATCTCTTTAATAATGTAGTTGTGGCTTTTCAAACCCATTTTCTTTCCAGAATTAGTTCTCGTATGTAATCGTTGTCCTTTGGTTCATTTTTGGAGGGCTGTTGATGTCCTGTATTAACCAATCTCAGTTTACAATGCAGAGATTTAAATGCAGCACTCCTTTCAGGTCAATTTTGAGGGCATACAGCTCAATTCTTGGAGGGAAATGTACATGAGGGAAATCATGTGTTTTTCCTGCAAAAGGAGCAGAGCCCAACTCCAGGATCTTGCAGCACCTTCTACCTGCCTGGTGCTTCCTAAATTTAAATCTGCATTTGCTGCAGGTGCAGCCAAGTCCACAGAATTCCTGACCCTTGGCTTGGAGTTTACTCTCCTACAAAAAGAAGCAATGCTCCTCTCCTTCCTTTGGCGTGGCAGCCTCTCAGTTAAAGCCTTTTCCCCAGGAGTGGGGGCTGTAGATTTGGGAAGTCTGGGATACACAAATCAGAGGAATGTCTCACTGGAAGCACAAAGAAACCAGTGTGATTAAGGGACACGAAGATAATGCTTCCTGAGTGATGTTGTATTTATCTCTGCCTACCTTGAGTTTGCAATTAAGCAAATACCCACAGTAAATTGATGAGGTAAACCGTGTTCCCAGATTTGTCAGAATAGCTCCTACGGTTTGGCACAAAAAAGAGCAGACGTGTTGCTATATCTGGAGATAAGCAGCCAGAATCTTCCAGGAATTAGTTTCTGAAAGGTTTGGGTTTTTTTTTTCTCTGCTGATCGTGGTGCTCTGTTTTCTTAAGTGCTGACTCCAGTAAGCCTTTTCAGAAAGACAATTAATGCCTTGGAAAGCAGCCATCAGCCATATAAAAAAAAAAAACAAAAAAAACAAAAAAAAAACCAGGTTCTCACCAAGCTGTTTATGCATGGCAAAGGGGGACTCAGCTCTAACACAGATTGAAGAGGACACTTGTTTAAAGTGAGGCTACTAAGGATGTATACATTGGATGGTAAATATATTGACAAAGCTGTCCTGCAGGAAAGATATTCAGTAAATTGGATTATCTACATTCTAAAAAGATTATCCACTTAAAGGCCTCTGGAGATTTGCTGGTTGAATAAAAAGAGAGGGAAGATCTAGGCTGCAGTCTGGCTAAACATTTTTTCAGTTCTTTTTCTGCATTTAATTAAAAGAACATCCTCTCCTGCTCCTAATCACCATCSTGTGCCTCTGTGCAATCAGTGCCTTGTGCCACCTGTAGATTTGCTTCAATATGCAATCATTTGTCAGAGATGCTTTCCTCTTCATCTCATGCTGCTCCGTTGACACCAGTGAAAATCGACCCCCGAAACCTTTGGGAAGATCAGAGCTCACCCAAGGCGTTGGGGACATTTTTTCTCTCATGTTTGGTGAAAGCTCTAATAGCCAATGTGGAATTTTGATGTGCTGGGAGTGAGTTGCCTTTGGGAGCAGTGTTTGAGCAGCACATGTTAGAGTCCTGTCACCTTTCRTTGCTGCCCATCAGGACCGATATTTTCCTGGGAAAGGACTGGAGAAATTAAATCTTCTGATTTCTCCTCTGTCCTGCAGTAGCCATGCACTACTTGGCAGCAGTCTCCTCCTTCATTTTCCTGCTAAGGGAAATGTGTGCCATCATTTGCRTTTTAAAGGGGCTTGTAAAAAAGGATTGCATGAATTTTTAGCTTATGACTCATTTAAAATTAAAGGCAGCTTTCGACTAAAACCATGTATATCTCCAGGAACTTAGAGAGTGTRTTTTAAAATATTGTAAGGGGGAGTTACAGGTTCTTCTCTTATTGCTTCTAATCTTTTTTGGTGAACTCCTTTTACARAGTGTAAGTGCAGAAATATTTTAAGTAACAAGAGCTTTGTGTAATCCACCTGCTTTGCTAATCATGCTTTCTACTTAACYGTATGTAATAGTTTTTCAAAGGCATTTTTGTGGAGCTTTCTTGGTCACRTGTGACAGCTGTTATTTTTAAGTTMATGCAATGTCAGACCACTCTGACTCCTGAGACGAACCAGTCATGACACTTCAGCAACTTTTCCAAATTGGCTTCTTGAATATTCACTAATACTACTTTAATTTCTCCCTGTATATGAAGTATTGCTTTCCRTTATAAGATGAGACAGATCAAAGTTGGCTTTTCAGCATCTGAGGATACCCAGATACCATCTCAGGGAGCTCAGAGCAGTACTTATGCAAGTGAATGACTCTTTTATGGACTTATGTGTCACCCTGAGTTCCCAAATGTAGGATTTGGTTGTCACATGGASGCGTTCAGCTTCAGTTCAAATTATGAAACCTGAAAGACTGAAACTCTCCTGAAATAATCTAGGTTCATAAAAAAACATCAGATGAACAATGTTACCTTCTTCCARTCTCAACCAGTCCTTTGATCACAATTCAGCTATTCAGGAATGATTCTTTAAAAAAAAAAAAAATTACATCTAGTAACCAAAGAATGCTGTTCCAAGTGACAGGATAAAAAATACCTTCCATATACTATTACTATGTTCCTTAAGAAACCAATATGCTCAGTGAAAGGTTACCCTTTCATACACCTTCTCATATATCCCATGTATCAAAAACATGAAGATATAATCAAACTTTCAAGAACCCAAAATTTCTCTTTGTTTGGTGGGGCCAACATGAGACATTTTGGTGTCTGGGAAAAACTCCCAAATGGTCAGAGCCCAGTGCAGTCCAGCTCCTCTCCTTCCAGCCATCAGCAGCCACCAGGCATCTCCTGCATGCAACATCACATTTGTCCTGTCCTTGCTGCTGCTCTGGGTAACAAAACCTGACTAAATGAGGCATGGTCCATCTCTGTGGATACCTGTGACCTCCCTGGCTGTGAGCACGGGGTTGTGCTCCAGAGCCAGCAGCTTTGGGGTGTTGTTCCATGGACACACAGTGCAGAAGGCTGGTGATGCTTGGTGCACTGGGAGGGTGGAGGTATTTCAGAACAGAAGCTCAGGTCCATTTCCAGCTGCAAAAAATGCTGAAATATTCCCATATTTGAGGTTTGGCTMCTCARTATCAAAGGTGCTGGGGAGTAAAAYRTCCTAATTCTYTCCTAATTTCATCARTTAATTTCCCATGGAATTAATTTATCCTCTATTGGAGTAGAAGGTTAAAACTGTGCTGAGTTGATAYTTTTGTCTCAAAACAGCTACTATGAAAATAATTATCCTGCTTCAGTGGATTTCTTAGGATATTGTTAGGAAATTAATATGGACAATTTCCTGAGATCATCAGGAGAGACTGTGTATCATGCTAAGGTAGGGTTTCTCCCTCTACCTCTGTGGGGCAAAATTCAACTTGTATTTTGGAGAAAAACCTTTTAGAATTACAAGGTCAGGCTTCTAACTGGCAAACCCCACTTCTGTGGTTAAACTCTGCCTTTTGTGACAACCATTTTMAGTCCAATGTTATTTCTTCTTTGTTAATTGCTGCCTTCTTTYCCGGGGCAGAGCAAATAACCTTCATCTTCTCTTCCCCTTAGGCTGATATCAAACACTGGCCTTCGGTTTTTACCTGCTGTCCACAAGATTCACTCTTTCCAGAAAGTTTTGCTGTAAGTCTGAACGTTTTGCTTTTCACTTTCTGAAAGCTCCCTCTGAGTGCTCTTCTGCTCCAGCAAGACTTTTCAAGACCTCATGATCATTTATTAGCTCCGCAGTGCCGTGTTGGGCAGTAATTTTGCAGGCATTGATGGTAAAGTGGCTCAGGTCTCAGATCTCTCCAGGTGTCCCCTTTTCAAAGGCTTGGAACTCACACTTTACAGACCACTCTTCCTTTAACTAAGYTGTGAACACGTGTCTGAGTGGCCCAGGGGACAGATAACAGTCTTGGACTTCTCTTGCACAAGCTGAAATCCAAGCCAGGCTGGTGGCAATGGAAATTTGTTGCCATCTGGTGACAATTTCTGACCTGCAGGGGAAGAGTCACTGATTGCAGAACTCTGCTCCATCAGAAGTGGCCACATCACAGAGGAAAGAAGTAAAAAGACCAAAACCAAAAAAACCCAAAAAACCAAAAAAACAAACTCAGGGGATTATCTACCATACCCTATTTTGTTTTCCCCTGGCAGCAAAACTGTCCAGAGAATGAAAATTATTTTCTATGGAAAATTCCAGTGCCAATGAGGAAAAAAAAATCTGCAAAATTTTCAGTGAAAACAGGCTATTTTTTTCCTAAAGCACTTTTTCTTCTGTAGAAAAAATGCACATCAGGAAAGTTTGATTTCTTTTTCACTGAAAAATATTTTGACATACATTTTTTAATCAGTTCTTGCTATCACTGAAAGTATTCTTTTGGACAAGATTTATTGTTAACTCACAGACAAAATTCTGCATCTTCAGATCTTTGATTAGAAGATTTCAGCCTGCAGAAACATTAATCCTGCTATTATCATAGTAATAGCTGTAAATAGAAATAAAAATGTATATAAAACATAGAGAGGGGATAACTGAATATAGTATATACACAAAAAAGAGAACAATTTCAGGAATACACTCTACATATGCAATTCTGAGAACTTCACTTTTTTGCTCCTCAAAACCACAAGGAAATGMAGCAGCTGTGGCACTACAGAGACTTTTACCTGTACACCTTTGTTTATAACCTTAAATTAGTCTTAACCAGATTGGAATTACTGTGTTCTGTGGAGCAAGAGGTTTTAACCTTTTAGGTGCAACTCCTCATTTCCCTGTAAGAGCAGACCTTGATACTGAGTCTCAACCTAGTCCTCATTTCAAAGGTCCCTCTGAGGAATGTAAGGAAATTCCCCTTGGCTTGGGTTCTGCCAATATTTAAGTCCCAAAGATAGGTTTGATGTTTATAAAGGGTAGATCTTTAATAGAGGGAAACAGTTCACCTGCACAGGGTCCATGTTCCCTCCCTGCTCCTGCCTCTGCAGCCCTCAGTTTGCAGAATGAAATCTCTGTGTGTCACCAGTGCAGATCTGGGGCTGTAYGGAGCTGTAGGCATGAGAGAATTTTGGAACCGTGCCTAATTTCAAGCTTTGCAGATAATTAATTTTATTCCATGCTTTCCAAAGCAAACAGCATGGAAACAGCCATATCCCCAGTCCAAATTATGAATAGCACTATTTAACTTGTTTGAGGCCTATTTTGAGCCAGCAACAAAATATTTTTTTCTTTTTTATTATCAATCATAACTGAGGAAAGACAGAAATTCCTTCTTTTCCATTCAACCAGCTGCACTGACGGGGTCCCGCATTTAAGTTCTTAAGCACATCCAAAGCTCATAAGCAACCCTGTTGACATCAGCTGGGGAATGATTCATGGGCTGGAGGGGACCCTGCTGAATCAGGCCAGAAAGGCTAATGGCTTTCCTCCTTCTGCCTGGGAGGCGGGAGAAGGGGTGGCCTCSCAGCCCCTCCAATTGCATTTTCTGGGGAGTATGTTTGCTGGAGGAGCTATTTCATCCACCTCAGGGTTATAGACCAGAGCTTTTATGCATTTTAATGTCTTCAGCCTATTTGGGAGGAAAGTACGGGGGTGTTGGAAATGTTTTGCTCCAGCCTTTTTTATCAGGAAAGGTTTGTGTTCTGCAGGAATAAAATGTCTTGGAAACTTACGTTATTACCCTCTGTCTGTTGTACTTCCTCAGATTGAATAGAAGGGAAAAATACYGTGTTTGAAGCAGCATGTTGTATTGAAAGGCTCACAGAAGTACAAAAAGGTGTAGTTCCTATTGTATTTTATTTTTCAGAGATATTCAAGACAATATCAATATACGTACAATTGAAAGAAATTCATTCATGGGCCTGAGTTCTGAAAGTGTGATTCTGTGAGTAGACATAGCAAATTCATTATTCTCCTTGTTAGCTCATTTCTTTTCCAGAACAGGGTCAAGCATTCCAGGAGTTGGGTGCTTTTTCATTCATTTCCAAATTCAATTTGAGATTTTTACATTTCTCCTCGCCACTGAGATCTCTGTATTCTGTTTCCCTGCCATGAAAAAAAAAAAAAAAAGAGTGCTTTTGGGGTTTTTTTGTTGTGTTCTAGTCCTGCTCTTTATTTTAGAAGCACATCAGAGAGTGAATTTAGTAATTACCGATGCCGAGTTCAACACCTACAGCAACAGTTCCCTGTGATACAAATTGCCTTCAAAAGGATGGCACGACTCATAAATATTTACAGTCAGACACATCACTCAGAAGAGGTYCATTCCTGGGGCAGGATGCGTGCAGATGTTGTGGGAATGTGTTTTATTTTATTTGTGCATGGCGTCGATGCGTCGGCACGGGCGGGTTCACCGCGCGCTTTGGAGCTGCACCGTGCGATGGCTCCGCGTCTGATTGGAGCACCGTGGGTTTTAATGAACTGCTGCTTCTCTGATCCTTTCCCTCTGTACATCAAAACACGCTGTTTGCTGGCTAACAAGCTGCCTCCTTCCACTCMGCCAGTGGCCAGGCTGCAGAGAATTCCCCCCGTGTTTGTGTGGTTTACCTGGCACACGGAGAGAGGAAAGCAAGGCTTGAATTGACTGACTGGGCTCACATTGATTCTGGGGGAGCAARGTCAGACCATCAATAATGAAGAGAGGCCAGTAACAAGTCATTTAGCTTTATCTCTATCAGTTATGCACAACCCCTGTCTGCTTCAGGTTCTGAAGTTTTAAACACACACACATATGCACAGACTTTTCTCAAATATATATTCAAGTAATTATATCACAAGTGCATCAGTTTATCTCTTCTCCTGTGATGATAATATTTCCTGGTCAAGGACGGTTTTCATTTCCAGAGCTCTGCACAACAAATATTGTGTTTGTTTTCACGATAACACCAAAGGGTGAGATAAATATCTCAGATTTTTTGCTSTGTTTTGGGCACTCTGTGGCATTAGAGCAGCATGAAATTGGCTTCCCACTCTCTCCCCAGGATGTTTCATTGCTTATATCAGGAAKAAATTGTTTACTGTGGGAGGGGTGAGGCATTTGAACAGGTTGCCCAGAGAAGTTGTGGCTGTCCCACCCCTGGAAGTGCTCAAGGCCAGGTTGGATGGAGCTCTGGGCACAATGGTCGAGTGGAAGGTGTTGCTGTCCATGGCAGGGGGTTTGGAGTTGAGTGATCTTTAAAGTCCCTTCCAGCCCAAACCTTCCTATGATTCTGTGATGGGATTATTGCCTGGCTAKTGAAGGATACCTCTCTGGGGACTTCAGGCTGCTGSTTTGCTACCAAAATTGTTCTGGTGRGAGGGGATCATGGCCACTTGCAGCTCCCCTGCCCACCTCCTGTAGCTGCCCCATTGTCGGGGTCCCTGCACCCACCAAAGTGTGCAGAGAGCTCTGTGAGCAGCCCTGGCCAGCACYGCCCTGGGCAGACAATGGCCTGACTCTGCTCCGGTTCTACACAGATCAATTCAGGACAGAGGCTCTAAATGTGCCCATTGAGGGTCCCTGATTAGGCTTTCCTCATGCTGTGGGGAATTTAGCTCATTTCAGGCACAAATTTGCTGGTTTTCTACACGAAACTGATATCACAGCAATTCAACAGAAAGTTACGGTTACAATTAGTGAAACCAGCAATATCAAGATGATTAAATCACCCAGAACCCATTAAACCCACACTTTTTAGGGAGAAGCCATTTAAATGGGTTTAGCTCTGGCAGCCTCCAAGCATATTTAAGCCAGTAATTTGGATTGCATCTGATCTTATGCTCTGCATTGGATCAGCACTGGTGGGAGCTGAAGAGACTCTTGGTAATAAAGTGCTAGAAATTTATGGGAGAAATTCACCTTGCTTCCAGGTCTGCATGCTTATTAGGGTTTGAGATAGATTGTTCCAGTCCTGAATTGGGATGTAAATGGTACCTCAGGAGCAGTAACCTCTTGCATGGGTGAATTTTAAGGTGTATTCTAAAAATCTGCTGTAGCCATTAAATGGTAAGGAAAAGCCAGGACATCCAAGCTCTGAATCTCCATCTCCAGTCACCTGTTGCTGGTGTGAGAGGTAGTGGAGTCACTAAAGAGGCTGGTTGAAATGAGAGGAAATTTTGCCTCAACAGGAATTTATTTCTATGTATTATAATGAGGTCTTGGGATTTAGTTTTGTTGTTGGGTTTTTTTTTTTATTCTTTTTGCTACTCTATCAGCTGCTATTAGCCAGGAGACAGGAGTGTAACGTCCACGCAGTGTGGCTGCAGTGACTCTGTTTTACAGCCTCAGTACCTCACTGCATTAGCAGCATGTTCMGTGAGGGAATGCAGTAAGTGCTAATAGCGTGATTAGAAACAGATCAATCAGCCTGGCAGCCACAAATGTGTGAGATCAATGTAATACAATAAATGTTTGGAACGCTGTAAGCAGGGACCCGGATKGCTCCTGTCTGACAGTGCTGGGAAATGAAGGGGACGGTGACAGCTGTCCTGATCCAGCCTGACAGACACTGTGGACACAGAGCCCTGTGCATCTGCCTGTCACGGTCAAAAGAGCAATCCTGGCAGCCAGAGCCGTGACTGATTCCTGTGCTGACCTTAGCTCACCACCTCAGACCTCAGATAAGTGGGTCGCTTGCATGCTCAGCTTTCAAAGTGAATTAGAAAAGAGCCCAGGTTTGCTGACAGTTTAATTAAATCAGGCCATCTCTGCCATCCATCAGCCCTGTCACTGCCTGTCGGAGAGGGCGGGAGCTGCAAAGTGACGTTTGAGGCGAGATGAAAGATCGCACCGTAAAGATGATAAATATAACCGACCTAAATGTAAATTTTTAGGACCGTGAAGGGACAGAGGGAAGGACATTAAACGTTAATTAGGTAAAGCACCAGAGTGAAAACTTGGCAGAGAGGCCCAGGAGCTTCAATGGCAGGTGCAGTACCTGGGGAAGGAGCCTGGGGAGGTGGGGCTGGGCAGCAGAGCAGGCAGGAGTGCAATTTGTCAACTGGAGGAACCTCCTCTCTCTGGGCAGTTTGGCTGCCYCTGCTGCCCTCCTGCCTGGCTCAGTGACCACCAGCACCCTCCTCCCCTGCCTGGCTGTGGATGTGAGCCCATGGCACACTGCAGCATTTCTTCTCTAATAACTGGCAAAGATGAAGCCGTGGCCCCACATTTCAGAAGCATCTTGCAAAGAATAAAACTAAGYGGCCCTGACAGCACCAGCAGAACAACCCTGCTCTCCCTGGCTCCTCTGCTCCTTCCCAGCTCTGTCCTTACTCTGGGATGCCACCTCAACCACTCTAAGCCTTCCTCCAACTATTGGGGTCTCACAGGCTCAGATTCATMGAAACATCACCATTTCAATGTCCATTTAACAACTTCATTTGTTTAAGATTCGCTGCTTTGAATTGCATGCATTGTAGTCATGAAGCATAAGTAAGAACACAACTCTGTTTTCCTTTTCTCTGTTGCAGATGGCTGAACAAAAATGGAATCCAAGACATTGAGAATCACGCATTTAATGGAACATACCTGGATGAGCTGTAACTATTTCTGTTGTTTGCAATTCTGAACAGTGATCACTAGAAGATAGTAACTGCTGAAAGATATATGTCTTTCAAATCTCAGATTGTTTCAGCATAAATATTGTGTTTTTCAGAAATCTAAGTGACAATCACAACCTAGAAAAGTTACCAAATGAGGTCTTCCAGGGAGCCAATGGACCTGTTGTTTTGTAAGTAATATTTGGATAACATTTTTCTCWTTATTGACTCCTTAAAAAAAGATCAGAGAAGAACATATGAATGCCAGTCTGGATTTCAGCATCTTGAAAACCTTGGAGTTCGAGACCAGAGGTCTAGGTCTGAATGAAAAAAAAGGAAGCCATAACTGAAATTTCAGTCTAGAATCTTATTTTCACTTTGTTCTCAAGGTTTTGAGTGCATTGAGAGTAAGAGATCTAGACCCAGTTCCTCTCCACAGTTTATTAAACAGTGCAAAAGAGTTGGCATTCTGCTTTATTTTTTCTCTAGGAAAAAATGCTTTTGGTTTTTCTGTTTGAGCGAAATCAAGACTGACTGAGTGGTTCTCAGTGCTTAAATCTGAATTACTCACCACTGAAGATCTGCCCATATATCTGTGCAGCTTAATTCCGAAGCAAAATTTGTCTCATGCAGGGGTGGGGATTGGGATAGGTTACAGCAGGATATCTTTGGTGGGTTATGAGATGGGAATTGAGAATTCAGCAGCAGGATGCTCATGGGTCTCAGTCACCATTACCTCAAGCCACAGTTTGCAATAGGGTCTGAAAATGTGTGTGAGTGTGCACAGCTGCTTGAGTTCCTGAGCACAGGCCATGGCTCGTGAGGGCTGCAAGAGGGACGTGGGATTCTTTTTTTGTCTCCCCAATTCATTGGAATATTTCTGTCTTTGCATCCTTTCTGGTTGTCCAGAGAGGGCTGAAGTCACCCAAAACAAGTGAAAGGGGTCACTGGAAGATTTTACAAAGATGCTTCAGTGGTTACAGATCTGAAAAGGAGGGAGACAAAAYGTCTGATTAACCTTGAGTTCAGTCCAAAGCTCTTCTGAAGGTGTCTTTTTCCGCTTTGTGATGGTCAGTGCCCCTGTGATATAAAGAACTGTGTTCTGGGTTACTGCATTCTGCTCCACTTCCATTGTTTCTTCAAAGCATCYTCTTTTTTTTTGAGAAGACTGCCGCTGGAGCCATCTTTTCATCAGTAATGYCATAGGTGTTTCTTTGGGAAATCTCTGGTTCCTGTAGCAAAAAGTAAATGCATTTTCTTTGCAAACTATACTAGATACAATCCTATTCTGGAGGTTTATCAAATTGATTTGCCTGTAGTTGAGATTCATTTGATAGTTCAATTTCTAACACTGAGTTATTTGTGTAAAAAGTTTTCTGTTCCATTACCAATGCATCCACTCTTCCGTGGATTGGAAATTACCTTTTTATCCCGSATGAGATCGTGAAAGAAGAGCCTTCGTACTCATCCATCACTGCAGTGTTCTCCAGGGATGCGCTTCCACTTGTGGAAATGATTGACCCATAATCATATCTGTGCTGGGACAAATCATCCTTTTGCTGTTGCTGCAATCAAATCTGTGCTGCAGACTGCAAYGTTTTCATAGAATGAACATCAGGGKGGGTTAACTGTTGACCTTCCCAAACCAGTGTTGTGGAGTCAATTAATGCCAGCTTCTATTTTAYAATTCATCATATTAAAGAGATGTGAAAGAAACACAAACACAAATAGACAGCACCAATCAGAGGCCTTGCAGGGGCTACAGTTTCACAAATCAATTCCTCTCTCAGATTTACAGCTCTTGGCTGAATTAGAATCTCTCTTTGGGAAAGACATCAAATTTTGAGTTAAAGGATTTCAGCATTGACAGTAGGCTAGTAAATCAAATCACTAATAAATCCCACAGCTATACAYATTCCTTCTATACCAAAATGCACTCTGCTTCCAGCTTGGAGTTTCGTAGCTTCAATTTTCAGCTGCATTGTTCCRTTTAATTGTCTGCTGCTTCTCTCAGAGCTGCAGTGGTTTACATCAGCTCTTGCTGGTGTCCTTTKCTCTCTGGCTCTGTCCTGACTCGATGCAGGGCAGGGTATGGCTGTGGTCCATCCCACCCTTGCAGTTTCTCTTCTTTGGGAATCCCACAAATGGAGGATGCAGGAGAGCTCCAGAGGATGCCCAGTGCAGCCCCTGAGTCCCTGAAGCACAGAGAGATCAGTTCAGATAAGAGCACAGAAAATTTTTCTCCCCAATCCACCTACCCTGCTCTGATTCCTGCTCCAGGAGCTGTTTTTGGCCATTTCTGTAGGTGCCTTTCAGACCCCATCAGCTGGTCAGTATTTCTGCTAATCCAACAGAGACTCCCAGTGGGAAAGGAAAGTGACTGGAAGAAAAGGCAGATTCATTCTGCTGTTCCTGCACCGACTGCTGTCAAGCCTGATGTCTCGCAGCCAAGCAATGACAACACAAGAACAGGAATTTCAGTGGCTGAGGCCTTCTGGTGTGATTTCCTACTGCCTTTATAATCTTGCTCACCATGCTTTTTTTTAATTTATCAAGGCTCTAACTAGAGAACAGCATCCCCAAGAGCCTCTGCCCTGAGGTGTGTATGTGGTAACTCAGAGGTGTAATTCACTCAGGCACCTGCACAGTGTCTGTGTTTGCTGTTTGGGTTTGCTGTTGTCGSTGGTGTATCCATAACTATCCTTCACAGATTTACAAAAAAAAACCCAGCGATATGCAAAGCTCTTTCTCTCACACATTTCTGCTTATGTGTGATAATGAGCATAAAAAGAAAAKGTTTTCAAATAAGAAGAAAAAAGTTTTGTGGAAAATATCTTTAATATATATGAATTCATTGAGAAATTCAGTAAACTTTTAGGTATTTTTAAGTCTAAGTGCTATTCCTGTTCATAGTTTCTTATTTCCATGCAGTAATACCAGTTGGGGCTCAGTAATGGTTTTTAGCTAACAAGCCAAAGAAAACATTTTCTGTGCCCTTGTTCAGAACGATGAAGTTTCACATTCTCTTAATGATGCCATGAGTGATGCTGCCTGTGGATTTAAGCAGARTCTGCTGTTTAGTTTTTGACTCATGAGCATATACTCTGGGTGACAGTTTCCATCAGGCAGTGCAGCGAGGGCAGCACTCAGCACATGTGAAAATTGAGGTTGCTCATTGCAATCTAATTACCTCTCCAAGTGTCCAAGGCAGAAATCGATAGCCTAACATTTCTCATTGCCTGCTGCTTCTAGCTGCTGTAGAAACAGGCCCAGAACCYCAGGACCTTTCTGTGAGAGGTGTGGCTTCTCTCACCTGCCCTGCAGAAGTTCATGTCTGTCTTCCAGTGAAAGTCACAGTACCAGGTCGGGGCAGGGGAATTTGTGTTTGCTCCTCTGCTGCAATTATCCAGTTTTTGAAGGTGGTGCATTCCTTCAGAGCCTGGATTAAACCCTCAGTTGTGGGCACAGCATGGACACAGAGATCATCTTTACCAGTTTTACAAACTGCTTTCTCAGCTGCCTGTGAACCTCTTGGGCTTGGCTRGCGTTCAAGCAGAGCCCTTTCCTGGTACTGATTTTTTTTCTCAGACTGGAGAATAGAGGTGCAGATGTGTGTATGGTGCATAGCAACTGCCTAAGTTCTATTCCATGCTGCTGAAGCCTGGATCTACCCCTCACACAGCACCACTCTCCTGGATTAATGCGATAATAAAAACAATTTGTGCATGTTGGCTGATGGAGATCAAATAACAGGTTGTGACATCACACTGCCATAGATGAAYTGGAAACTGTACCTTCGAGGGGTCATGGAGAAAACAGCAAATGTTGTCAGTCCAATTATTTGATTAGGGAGAAATCTTTTCTTGAAGAATAATAAGCAGATCAGCCTCAGCAAACACTGCATCCTGCATCAGTCTCATTCTGTAAARGGTTAAGGAAGGAAGGGTAATTTTGTGCAGTTGATTTTTACCTTTGCTCTTCACAGAAAGGAGTCAATCTCACGTTGTCCTGCTCTGAGGGACACGGTTTGTGTCCCAGTGAGGGAAATGTGGAGATATTTTGCCCCAGCTGTTGCAGGAGCTCTGGGGATGGGTTCCCAAGTATCTCTTAGCCTGGTGATGGCTGAACTTTAGTCCTTCTACCCTTCACTTGGGCACAGGGCACAGGGCAAGATTAGGTGTTTGCAGAGTGTGTTTCCTTTTTAAAGGCCCCTCTGGTGCTCTCTTTAGTCCGTTCCTGGCTGCTGATTCCATCRCTGCCTCTGAGCCAGTCCCACACTAATTGCCTTCCACATAAACACGTTTCTCCTACCTGCTCTCATCTTGCCCTTTTCTTTGTTTCAGCCTGTGCTATATTTGTTTTCTAAACCTCTGAGAACATTTTGTTGGGAAGTTTTTGTTCCTAACAGTCAGAACAATGCCACCCCTGTCTCTCTTTAATCTCTTTTTCTTCCTAATGAGTACAAAACCTGATATCCCCAACCTGTCCGCACATCTGTACCCACATGTGAGCTTCTCTCTTTGTGTTTATTGCCTTTTCCACAGCAGCCTTCCCGTGATGTGATGTTCTTATAGCAAACTTCTGTTGTGATTTCATCAGCCTTTTTTTATCCTTTAACAGCATTCTGGGATGATTGCTGCATTTGCTGGATATTTACTAAACCCAGCATCATATGGCAGTAATAGTTTATATCCCTGCTAATTTTTGCCCTGAACATTATGGGATATTTTTTCTTTTGTACTCACAGACTAAAACCACTAGATTGTTGTTTGTAATGGATATTAGCTCGGTTTKCTGGAGGAACACCTAATTTAGCCGTGGAACCTCTTTTGGGTGTAGATTTCCAGCTGATCCCTACTCTGAGCATGAGCAGGACAGTCTCAAACACATATCCATTGTTGAGCAGAAGTAAATTTGCTTTTCACCAAGATTTTCATATGTTTTCTTAAAGGGATATTTCAAGCACGAAAATCAGTTTCCTGCCAAGTCATGGATTAGAACTCATTAAGAAGCTAAGAGCAAGGTCTACACACAATTTAAAAAAGCTTCCTGATTTAAGCAAATTTAGATCTTTGATTGAGGCAAACTTCACCTATCCTAGCCATTGCTGTGCATTTGCAAACTGGAAAAGACAAAAGTAAGTGATTTAATTTGTTTTTCTCTCTGGTGCTTTTCAGCAGTTGATAGTGAATTAAATAAAATTCCTCAAAATCTGGATAGAAATGGTGTCTTCAATGCAGGTAAGTAAATGGATAGAAATAAATAAATACACGATACGAAGAGGGTTATGCATGCTACACAGTGCACTGCCTCTCCGTTACAGGGAATTATTAAGTTTTGATGGCATCAGGGAATCAAAGCCACAACTTTCCCCAGCCACAGCTCTGCCCCACCTGTCCTAAGTCCATCTTTCACTGGGACCTGCTGTCCTGAATCAGCCTGGAGCCACACTGAAGACATCAAACAGAAAACATTTGATAATTTTTTCAGAAGGTAGCTGGAGGGAAAGCTGTGTTTGCAGAGAACCTGATTCATCAGTCCAGGAGGGCACCAGGAGCATTGAGTGATCCCAAACTCTTCTCTGAGAAASCTTCATTGATGTTGGAGCACTGTCCAGGCATCACAGATACATTTCCTGTTGAGTTCACACTCACAGCACTTTGGGACATGATTTCTGAGCAGATCCATTTCACACAAATCAACAGAGTGCAGTGGGAGGCTAAGGTCACTTTTTAGACTCCAGAAATAATTTTCCATGCTTTGTAAAAAAATTTCCCATTAGCAAGTTGCAGTGAGACTTCAGATATCAGTGATTCTCGTTGAGTATTTCCACCTCAGTCACAGTTCTGAAATGTACACATTCAGTAGTTAATGAACCTCCTCAATTTGTGCCACTGGAAAACGTGAGAAACTGGTGCCTACAGAAACTCCTGTCATTGCTTGAAATTTTTTCTTTACTGGATGTCCTGAAGGATTTGGACTTTGCCATGGCAGAAAAATATTATRAGTCATTGTTACCATTCAAGACATCATCTTCAGAAGTGGCATAAAGCTTCCAAGGAAAGTAAAACCATGCAGAGAAAGATTAACYGTCAGTAGCTTCTATTTTAATACTCTTAAAAGCCATTTATTTTATTCTTAGCATTGTATCATCACCAGACAATGGGAGATAACTGAGTTGGTTGKGCTGATAGCTATTAAATATCACCTACATGTGTTCACAAGGCTTTCTGTGGAAAGAGTGCAAGTGTTATGGCAGAGACTGCAGCGATGACAGAAGCATCTGACTGAATCCATCCCCCATTGCCCATTTTTGATCAAAAAAGTTGACTTTTCACTAAAATAGTTTATCAACAGGAGACACAGTGCCTGGTAGTTCCCAAGCACAAATGGGCCCAGTCCTTGCAGTGCTACTGGCAAAGGGATGATTTCTAGTGATTCCAGTGAAATCATGTTTATTCCCAAATCTGCAAAAGAACATTGACATCACTATGATTCATATTTTTGAAGGTACTTACCTTCTGGGCTGCTTGGGCCTAATCAGGACCCAAATCCCAGAATCCATCCCTAAAATCAGGCAACCAGAGGCAAAGTGAGAGTTGCTCTTGAAGGGAAGCTGCAGGAGGAAATGRCCCTGACCCCATAAGCTCAGTATTCAGTCCCCTTCCCTGGGCTCTGAGTGACTCCATGCACACACTCGCTCCAGGAAACTGAATTCCACCAAATTCATTTTCCCCTTAGTATCACCCCTCCATTGGAAGCCTTTCCCTGGCTAGCAAAGAGGACATAACACAGTCCCCTCCACAGCCTGGGTCAGAGTGATTCTGCAAAGAAATGCCAACAAAGCTGTGCAGAGCTCACATAACCCCAGTGCAGAAGTTCCAGGCTGTGCTGGGGCTGCTTCTGGAGCAAATCTGGTCACACCTGTACCACCCTGGTCAACAGAACAAAACTGAACATATTTGTCCATATCTTTAATAGTTCAGGTGTATTTTCTACTCAATATTAAGCCTAAACCCAAAATTATGTGAACCTATTATTTAGCTGAACCCTTCCTATCAGCTGTTTTTTAACATAATTAAAATTTGTCATTTCTWTAATACAGTCATGTCTCTTGTACTGAAATTGGTGGGGAACTGAGATCCTCTCTCCAGATTAAAGAGAGAAAGTGGATGCACATGTCTGGTTTGAAGATAGGGAGTATTACCATACCCTTCAGCAGAGATTAGTCACACCCACAGTAGCTACACCCACTTCCATCTCMAAGCAGTTTTTGGGACAGCTGGCACGAGCTGCATGTGCACTAAAGGCTGCTCAGGCTGTTTTAAAGTTATTAATRGTTTGYATAGTGYTTGATCACASAACRTGCAATATTCCTTTGCTAAGAGCTSTGCTTGGCTCAGAGCAGCAGGCTTCGCTTGTGCTGGTGGAGCCCTGGCTTGTCAGGAGGTGAAGGTTCTTCCCTGTGGTTATTTGGTTCACAGAATACTTCCAGGTAGTCCAGAGAGTATAAAAATGATGTCTCATCACCTCCAGAAGTTTTAACGATTGCACCAGCAGCCGGTGTTCACGTGGGAACTCTGGGGAGGAATTCAAACAGGGATGTGTGGCCTCTTTCTGGCTGCCTGTTCATGTTTGATTTCCCCTTTTTGAGACTTTTGCAGCACTCAAAACCCTAGATAAAATGAGTTTCCATAGTGGATGATACTCAATCACCTCTCCAAAACCGTCTGCAGCAGTGAACAGGTGCTGTTGTGACAATGGAAAGCTTAAACCTGTTACAGCTACAGTTCTTTCTGAATTTTGGAGGGTGCCACATCAAGCACAGCTCTGCCAGCCTGAGACACAAATTAAAACATAAACAGTTTGATGTTTTCCCCATTCCAATAAGGATTATTTGCCAGATATTGATCTATAGTTGGATCACAGCAGAACGTTGTGATGCTGACCTAGGAGAAGGTAAGCTACATTCAGTACAGTGTGTTGAACTCCCCTCAYGTTTTTCTGTGACTGGAAAATAATATCCTTGAAGTGTGGATAGGGCAGAGGCYGGATGTTAAAACCCTCAACTTGACACAGACCATTATGAACTGCAGCGAGATTTTGGCTGTCTTTGACATAAAGATCACCTTCTGCCTGAAAGAATGGCATTGATATGACTCTGTCCTTACACTTGGTCGTTATTCTTTGGAGGAGCTGTCACTTGAAATCCTACTTTTTCAAAAAATGTGGCAGCATCAGGAGTAGTGTTTGGGCCTCATCTCACAAGAACATACTCACTAYTCACTTAATGGCACTTTTTGGTGAGGATGATTGGTTTGAGATGGAACTTATTACAAAACACAGGTCAAGACTATTTATTCTGCTGAGTGTGTTCCTCAGCACACAAGATCCTGCTGTCACCGGATCCAGACGAGGCGCATAAAATAACAACTTGTACAAAGGTAGTAATTTTTGTTTATTTTTGTCAGAGCACTCTGCCAATTTCAAATTTGTTCTCTAAGTCGCCCTTTCTCCAGTTTATTTTTCTAGTTTACTTGAGCAAAATAATGTTAAACACTAAGAAAAGTTTACAAAGAGGGAGCAAAKTAACTGTATTATGACACCCACAGTCCCAGCAGGAAGCAAGGACCCACACATCCTTTATCAAWGTTTTAGCTTATGCTCTGAGTGCACTGCACAGCCCAAAGGGTGRGCAAAGATCTGGCAAGGAGTCAGGGTCAGAGGATGGCTCTTCCTTCCCTTGGGAGTTTCATCTTACCTACTCACAATGCAGGGAACTGGCCAGGACACTCCTTGCCACCCTTCCTTGGAGCAAACCACTTGTTCCTTGGGACCCTGGTTCTATTTGGGGCCACTGGCTGGAAAACAAGGCAAGAATTAATGAACTGTAAAAATCAGAAATAATTAGTTGTCTTTACATAGCACTCTTGTCCGGGACTATATTTAGGTCAAGGCAGTGCCTCCATAATTTTGGGAAAAGTTTATTTTTACTTCATGGTGAGAAATGATCAGATACAAACATTTGCCTCAGTTCATTTTCGAAGAACCACCAATTGCAGTAGTTTTCAGTGCCCCCAAGTGCCTGTTGCACTAAAATATGAGGGACTTTTTCTCCTTTTATTGCTCCTTGGGAGCCTGTATTCCCTTTCAGCCAGAGAATTGTTGATATATTGATCAATACTCTGGACCCTTCACTCATCCTTATGCGAGTAGAACACAGGAGAGCAAAATGTAATGCCTTGTTATTGCTACTGTGACCTTCATACTGCATATTTGACCTCACAGAAAATCAGTTTTCTGACTCAGTTGACAGGCAAGATAAAAAATATTGATAATAGTAGAGGATGTTCAGAATCTCGTAGGAAATGTCCCTCACCTCCTGGTGCTGGACCTTCATTAGTTTTCCTTTCTTGCAGGCCCTTTAAACTCAATTTTCAGAAGATGTAGCGAGTGCAGAAAGTCAAAGGGTGAAATTAGGTTACAAAGAAGAATTCTTCCTTTTAGGCTGCTACCAGTTGTTCAAAATTTTAACTTTACTTGCCTAGAGAGCTCTTCTCTCAGCTCTACTCAAGAGTCAGGTTGGAAGATAAGCTGGAAGTTAGTTCCAGGTTAGTTCCAGGTCCTGTCCTGGAAGTTACACACCTAAATGGCACTATGGGTTGGAGCTGAATGTAAGCAGAGCTGAACTGGGTTGGTTCTACAACACATTGTCACCTGTTTTATTGCAYAACTCAGACTGGGTCTGCATCCAAAACTGTGGGTGCAAGTTATGGGACAGCCAGATTCTGAGCCTAGGAGCCTAGGAGCTGTTGTAAACACTGCTTTCTAACAGAAACAAAAGCAACTACTGTTTCCATTAAAACATTTGGTTTGCTTTGGTTCAGTCCAGTTTGGTTTGGTCCAGTTTGGTTTTACTTTCCTTCACTTATTTCTAATCCACTTCTTTTGGAAAACAGTTTTTAAGGAAAATGGTSTGCTGTGCACTGTGTTTCTGTTGGCACCTGCCTTCTAGAGATTATCTGGAATCCTGCATGAACTTATTTGTGCTATTTACTTGTGCTGCTGGCTAGTCACTAACATGATGAAGAGCACAAACTGGAGTTGTYATGTGCCCTGRCAGTTACATGACAATAGTGGTCAAAACCTTTAGGAAAAAGGGATTTTGAGAACAATACTGAGGGACAGTAGCATTTCTGTGGTTATACAGACTCCTTATGAGCACAGCTGACTTGACTCATTCCTCCAAGCTCAGTCTTACATTGGTATTCTGCATTTCTCCCATGCAGAAATCAGTTTAGATGAGAAATTCGGTTCAAATAAGGGAGGCTTCTCACAGAGTGTGCTATCCAGGTGGATAACTGCATCACGAGTCTTAGACAAACATGAGGTTTTCCCTTCCTTTACAGTTTATKATATTTCCAAACTATTTACACATTCTGATAATATTTTGTAAATAGGGACCAGCTGGACTATTAATTTCAAACTCCAGGGTAATCTGTATAATCAGCTAACCAAAAAACTGAGGTGGTAATAGAAATTGGATGATTTTGTGTTTGTTGTTTGCCTCCTACTGTGTCTCTTAGCTTCCTACTCTACTCTTTTTACAATTTCAGGACCGAATTACATCCAATATGTAGCCTATCTCAGGTGAAACAGGACTTTGAGGAAAAGCCTGGCAAAAAGCTACAGAGAAGGTCTGCAGCTGAAGATTATATTTCCAACTATGGCGTAGGATTTGACCCAGCAGGAAATGAATTTGACTATGGCTTATGCAATGAAGTAGTTAATGTAGCCTGCTCACCTAAACCTGATGCTTTCAACCCATGTGAAGATATCATGGGATACAATGTTCTGAGAGTCCTGATATGGTTCATCAGCATCCTAGCTATTACTGGGAACACCGTGGTCCTCATTATTTTAATAAGCAGCCAATACAARCTCACTGTTCCTCGCTTYCTMATGTGCAAYCTGGCCTTTGCAGACCTCTGCATAGGSATCTACCTGCTGCTGATCGCCTCGGTGGACGCGCAGACCAGCGGGCAGTACTACAACCACGCCATCGACTGGCAGACGGGGCCGGGCTGCAGCACGGCCGGCTTCTTCACGGTGTTTGCCAGCGAGCTGTCGGTGTACACGCTGACGGTGATCACCCTGGAGCGCTGGCACACCATCACCTACGCCATGCAGCTGCAGCGCAAGCTGCGCCTGCGCCACGCCGTCCTTGTCATGGTTTTTGGCTGGCTGTTTGCTTTCACGGTAGCGCTCCTCCCCGTGCTGGGGGTCAGCAGCTACATGAAGGTCAGCATCTGTCTGCCCATGGACATCGAAACGYCGTTTGCCCAGGCGTACGTGATGTTTCTCTTAGTGCTGAACGTGCTGGCGTTCGTCGTTATCTGCGTCTGCTACGTCTGCATCTACTTCACCGTGCGCAACCCCAACGTCATCTCCTCCAACAGCGACACCAAGATTGCCAAGCGCATGGCCGTCCTCATCTTCACCGACTTCCTCTGCATGGCRCCCATCTCTTTCTTCGCAATATCAGCCTCCCTCAAGGTTCCTCTCATCACAGTGTCCAACTCCAAGATCCTGCTGGTTTTGTTCTACCCCATCAACTCCTGCGCTAACCCTTTCCTCTACGCCATTTTCACCAAGACTTTCCGCAGGGATTTCTTCATTCTCTTGAGCAAGTTTGGTTGCTGTGAAATGCAAGCCCAGATTTACAGAACAGAGATCTCCTCATCTGCTCATACTTTGCACACAAGAAATGGCCATTGCCCTGCTGCATCAAAAAACAGTGATGGCACTATTTATGCACTGGTTCCYCTGAACCACTTAAACTGAAACACTTGCATGAATTTGTGTCTGAGGCAGTGTGCTAATCACTTGCAAATATTTGGATTTGAGTAATGACTTYAGCATAACATGCAAACTTCTGTTTTATGAGAAAAATTAATTATTTCCACTTTGCTGTATTTGTTCAGTGAACAACCATCAGAGATGACTTATCATCYCCATCAGTTCTCAAAGAACAAAGTGCCAAAGTGTTCATGTAGAAYTGTCTCAAGAAATAAATACCATAAACCAATATCTCCCAACATGCAGGCAGAGATTCCCCTCATTCTAGGGAGATGTTAGCTRCTTGTTGAGAATTAAGTAGTGGTTATATACAGTTGAAAAAAAATACGTAGAATTAATTTCTTTTCCTGTGAATTGTGTTATAACAATGGCAGATAATTAGCTTTTTTCCATTAATTGTATGTCCAGGGGTTACAGGAGGCAAAAGGCCAATTTAAGCCGTCTTCCAGCATGGACTTGCTGGGAATGGGAATATTTTGTGTGGTTTCCATTTCTGTTGAGCACRGCAAGGAGGCAGGAGGCATCTCCAGCTATGCTGGATCTTTGCTGTTCCACACTGTGAGGACCTGCCTCATTCTGCACAAAAGTGTCACTTTGGGTGGTATTTGGATTGGCAGGCTCAGAGAAACTTGTTTCATCTGAGTTTATATTGAGGAGTTGGTTTTGAGCTTGTTTTCAAGGTACAAAAGAGCAAGAGCAAGGGCAGGAGAAACCCCTCATAATGAAAGGAGCATTTTCTAAAGTTGTTTTCACAAAGTTGAATTCACTTGTGTGTCTGGAAGCCTTGGATATGCCAGCACGGGCCAATGGGCTGCTCCATGAGGATTTGTGAAGCAGGTTTGCCAAACAAGGGTGCCCAAAGGACAGTGGATCTAGGTGTGGCTTTTAAATCCCTCAAAAAAAGTTCATGTCTTAGTTTTTTTGTGTAATTCTTTTAAGATTTCTCCTTACCTTCTAAAAAAAAAAAATCCTTTGCATGCACATTATCATGTGCTGGCCCAGATTGGAAGACTGAAATAAAACATAAGCTGCATTTGTCAAAATAACAACCAAAAAAAAAATGAAAAATAAAAAAATGAAAAAGAAAAAGAAAAATAATTAAAAAATGGAAAAAGATGAGAAAAAGAAAAAAAAAAGAAAAAGAGAAAAAGAAGGAAGAAAAAAAAAATCAAAATTTCTTGATTTTACAGGGATTTTTAATAATATCTCAATGAGTGTACAGACTTTTTATATGATTTGAATATCAAACTTTTGATGGTTAGTCATTTCAAATGGCAACAAAGGTTCAGGGCTGGGGAGGGTTTTCTCATGCTGATTGTCTGTCTGTGTGAGGATATGGGAGCATAAAGAAAACACCAGGTGATAACTCTGGTCTTCATTCCCATCTCACAAACATCTCATGGTTCTGCCCCATGAGACTATAAAAGCTTGGRGTCTTCATGGTTAAATGTGATGTGCTTTGAATATTTCCTGCCTACAACTCATAAAATTTCAGTAGCAAATCTTGATGCTTCTCTCCATAATTTTCCCTGTCATCAGTTTCACATTTCAGTATCTGAATTTTATGTGAATAACAACAGGAGGTGATTATTCATTCAGTCCTAGCCAGGGAAGGAACTATCAGCTCCCTAGTGCGTAAAGCTGGGGAGATCAAAGATAGTGTGTTTTGGCGGGGGAAATTTCATTACTCAACACAAGTAACACTCCCTCCAAGATCCAGGAAAAGGAAGAATGAAAGAGAAAAGCAGGAAAGACAGTTCATCTCTGGGAAGATCATCTGACTACTCAGAAGAATCACTTTTTTTTCACAACTGCTTTATGTCATATAGAGAGTGCTGGCGTGCAGCCATTACAACCCATCCTGGTGGAAGTGACTGAATGATGATGTTCCAAAATGACAAATACTCTAGTTATATTTTAAAAAGACTCCTGAATCTATTATTAGGCTAAAAATGAGGGATGTTCTTTGGCAAATACTACCCCACTTTTGATGATAAATAGAGAAAAATCTTGCAGAGCATCACGTCACACTGTTTTGCCCGAGCTCTGTCCATTTACTGAGAGTGAGACCTGGCAGCTCAGGAAAGCACAAGCATAATGGACTGGAAGCCAATCTTGTAAATCTTTTCACGTGTATGTCAGGCACTTGAGCTTGATGCAGACYATCTTCTTCATGCAAACCCACTGCYYRGACATTTACAGAATCAGGACACARTTACAAAGGTTTTTCATATGAACATCCCTGAAAAGAGACTTTGCAGGATTGTATCTTGTAGCCTGAGTCAGACCAGGGATCAGGCCACTCTGCCCACAGCTCTTCCTCCAGAGGAGACAGGAGTTGATACTTGAGGAGCAARTAGAACCTGCATAACTGGACACCTTGCCTCGTCCCTGCCCTCACATGCTGCTCAGGAGCTCTGGTGGCAGCTCCAAAACTCAGACATTGACTGTGCAGTTACCAAGACAAAAATCTTCTTCTTCTAGTCCTTCAATCTCCTTGGCTTTAGCTATTCTTCTGATTTTAATTTTAATCATCTTCCACATTGTGAGGGACATTGCRRGACCTGTGTCTTTCCTGRTGTGAGACATTGGTCCTGTTGTGTYAATTTTTTTCAAGTGCTGTTTTTATTTGAAGGAAGCAGTATAAGAAAAAAAAAAACAAGATATACTTTGTTCATGCTTGTAACGTACAAAAAGCCTGCTGGTGTTTGGTGTGGATTTTCTCAGCTCTGAACAACACRTTTATGTTGCAATCTTTAAACTGTTTTACATTTCCTTTTCTGAAATCTATTTTAATAAAACCAATATCAAAACAGAGTGCCTCGAGAACAAGTGTGCAGCCAGAGATATGTTGACAAGGTATGCAATAAATGTTGCTGCTTATCTGGAGAGCTGCGTTGATGCAGCGCAGCCCCCACGGTCGGGTCACTGTGACCTACAGATGAGAGGCTCTGCAGAGAAAACCTCCTGGAGAGTTAACAGAGCATGAAAGGTGTGCTTGAAACCTCTTCAACAAATAAYGCAGAAAAACTGACCTGGCTCTGTTTTAACAAACCTTTTGTATCAACTCACATTTCTTATGAAGTAAGGTATTAACCATTGACAGAACTGAGGCATATTTTTCCTCTTTAATTCATAYGAATGTCTCTCCTTATGTGATGCATTCTAATTTTCTTTCCTTCATTTTTATAGCCAGGGCTTGAAATTCTCTTCTGTTGAGCATTTTGCTCAGACAATTACATGTGTCTCATTGCGTGCACACATGCTAGTGTGAGTAGGTAACAAGGAAACTGAACCAAAGCCTAGCTCTGATTCACAGGAAAAACCTTGGAGTTGGTCTGTCTTGGAGAGAATTGCCGTTCATTGTGGCCATTCATTGCATTTTAGTCTCCCCCAGGCCCCCCAAAATGCCCAGTTTAAGAGTTATGGCTGTCTTTGCCTTTATGGTGCTATCACCAGAGAGACACAAATAGACTGTGCTGGCAGTGAGGACACAAAAAGCACCTTCTTGATMTTTTTGATCAACATCATTCCTTCAGGCATGCACCTTGTGCAGAACCCAAACCTGACCTCCCCAAGAATCACTCGTCTGGTGCTGTGATGGGAAATGAAAGATGGGGCCACTTCAGCTGGGCAGACTAAAGGCAGCATGATGAAAATTGCCACCACGGGTAAAGGTAATAGGAGCACCAGGAGCATCTGGTCAAAAGCATCAACAAAAGCAAAACTTGACTCAGTAGAGAAAATTAACCACGATCCATTTTCTTCACAACTTTGCTCTGAGGGTTGCACAGATATGCCAAGCAGAGTTTGCTCATTAGAAGGYAGGTCTGTGTCTGAGCTTGTTAAGAATGCAAGATGAGATTTGCATCCCATTTAGCAAGGCTTCAAATCATTTGACCACATTTCTTTCCTGTAGATTCCCTCCTAATCATTCCAGTGAGGACACAGCAGATAATCTTACATTTAATTTATGCAGCTTTGTTGTTAAGAAGAGTTAATAATGTGAAATGATTTATCCTCRAGGAATGATTTAACCATCCCTCCCTGAATGAAAGAACAGAAAAGAAAGGTGGGTCTGGTTCAAACAGTCAAGTAAGCCCATTCAAACCTCCTCACAGATTTGCATCTTTAATAGGGGCATGTGCAATCTCCCGTTGTGTATGCAAATTGCACATACACACTCTTCTTCTGTGAGAGCTTTTGTCTGAGTGCTTGGCTTCAAGCACGGATTTGAAAATCTGGGCCTTGCTGCTTTAAAATATTCAAGCACRGGAGCAGGATTTTATAGCTGTCATMTGGATAATTAAACTCTTCATTAACAGTTGTTCACCAACCAGTAGGTGACCTTTAATTAGGGATGAAAGTACTCAGGAATGGATTTCAAACATTAAGAAACTGCAGAGGAACCCTTTTCCCTCCCCTTCCCCACGTCCATTGAAAATCTTTTGTAAAGCATTGGTTTTCCAGCAGAAATGATGCTGGATGAGATAAAAACATTTTTCCAAGCCCAACTCATTGAATATATGTATTTTTAAAATCTTGGTGTAACTAAAATGCTGTAATTTTTGTCTCATGCAGATTTTGCCATGTGTTACCTGCATCTTTGTTACCCCAACCTGGACACCTGCACAGAATTGTACCCCACCGAAAAAGAGCAGGAAAAATCAACAAGTTCACAATGAGAGCAGTGCACAGATGGGAACRTGCTGTATGTGCGAGTGGGTGGAAGATTGCAGGGCAGAATTGAGCAATATGGACATTTCTGTTGAGTCATTTGAATATCCAGTGCTAAAAATATGCATTAAAGGGGCTGTTTTGGATGAAGAATAGTTCCCAGGAAGCAAGCAATAGAAATTTTTATGGAAAAGTCCAATGGAGAGATAAACTTTGGAGGAAGTTAAAGTCAGGTGGGTTTAAAAGCAAAAGATTGATATAAAGATAGAGTATATGCTGTCTCTGGAAAAAGATAGCAGCTCCTTCAGGGGCAATCCAGGCACCACACTGCACCATCACCTTTGCACTGCAATTCTGTGTGTTCGTGTGGCCTACAAATGCCTGATTAGSTTTAGATGCTCACAGCTTCTTCTTTTCTTGGCTGTGTTGTGTGCACAGGCATGTACCCCTTGGACATCTGTACTCCTGCCTCTTCATTGCCTCGACTTTGCCCCACTGTCACCCTTTCCACGATGA